CCAAACCAATCTAAACCAAAGAATACATATTCTATTCATACGAATCTATCCTAAAAATGTTGTCGGCATTAAATAACCCATTGAAGTTGATATGCCGTAAAACAAAATAAACCAAACTAATCTAAACCAAAGAATACATATTCTATTCATACGAATCTATCCTAAAAATGTTGTCGGCATTAAATAACCCATTGAAGTTGATATGCCGTAAAACAAAATAAACCAAACCAATCTAAACCAAAGAATACATATTCTATTCATGTGAATCTATCCTAAAAATGTTGTTGGCATTAAATAACCCATTGAAGTTGATATGCCGTAAAACAAAATAAACCAAACCAATCTAAACCAAAGAATACATATTCTATTCATACGAATCTATCCTAAAAATGTTGTCGGCATTAAATAACCCATTGAAGTTGATATGCCGTAAAACAAAATAAACCAAACTAATCTAAACCAAAGAATACATATTCTATTCATACGAATCTATCCTAAAAATGTTGTTGGCATTAAATAACCCATTGAAGTTGATATGCCGTAAAACAAAATAAACCAAACCAATCTAAACCAAAGAATACATATTCTATTCATACGAATCTATCCTAAAAATGTTGTCGGCATTAAATAACCCATTGAAGTTGATATGCCGTAAAACAAAATAAACCAAACTAATCTATACCAAAGAATACATATTCTATTCATACGAATCTATCCTAAAAATGTTGTCGGCATTAAATAACCCATTGAAGTTGATATGCCGTAAAACAAAATAAACCAAACTAATCTAAACCAAAGAATACATATTCTATTCATACGAATCTATCCTAAAAATGTTGTTGGCATTAAATAACCCATTGAAGTTGATATGCCGTAAAAAATAAACCAAACCAATCTAAACCAAAGAATACATATTCTATTCATACGAATCTATCCTAAAAATGTTGTCGGCATTAAATAACCCATTGAAGTTGATATGCCGTAAAACAAAATAAACCAAACTAATCTAAACCAAAGAATACATATTCTATTCATACGAATCTATCCTAAAAATGTTGTTGGCATTAAATAACCCATTGAAGTTGATATGCCGTAAAAAATAAACCAAACCAATCTAAACCAAAGAATACATATTCTATTCATACGAATCTATCCTAAAAATGCTGTCGGCATTAAATAAACCATTGAAGTTGATATGCCGTAAAAGAAAATAAACCAAACTAATCTAAACCAAAGAATACATATTCTATTCATACGAATCTATCCTAAAAATGCTGTCGGCATTAAATAACCCATTGAAGATTTATATGCCGTAAAAAAAATAAACCAAACCAAATTAACCAAAGAATACATATTCTATTCATATGAATCTATCTTAAAAATGTTGTTGGCATGAAATAACCCATTGAGGTTGATATGCCGTAAAATAAAATAAACCAAACAAATCTAAACCAAAGAATACATATTCTATTCATACGAATCTATCCTAAAAATGTTGTCGGCATTAAATAACCCATTGAAGTTGATATGCCGTAAAACAAAAATAAACCAAACTAATCTAAACCAAAGAATACATATTCTATTCATACGAATCTATCCTAAAAATGTTGTCGGCATTAAATAACCCATTGAAGTTGATATGCCGTAAAACAAAATAAACCAAACCAATCTAAACCAAAGAATACATATTCTATTCATGTGAATCTATCCTAAAAATGTTGTTGGCATTAAATAACCCATTGAAGTTGATATGCCGTAAAACAAAATAAACCAAACCAATCTAAACCAAAGAATACATATTCTATTCATACGAATCTATCCTAAAAATGTTGTCGGCATTAAATAACCCATTGAAGTTGATATGCCGTAAAACAAAATAAACCAAACTAATCTAAACCAAAGAATACATATTCTATTCATACGAATCTATCCTAAAAATGTTGTTGGCAATTAATAACCCATTGAAGTTGATATGCCGTAAAACAAAATAAACCAAACCAATCTAAACCAAAGAATACATATTCTATTCATACGAATCTATCCTAAAAATGTTGTCGGCATTAAATAACCCATTGAAGTTGATATGCCGTAAAACAAAATAAACCAAACCAATCTAAACCAAAGAATACATATTCTATTCATGTGAATCTATCCTAAAAATGTTGTTGGCATTAAATAACCCATTGAAGTTGATATGCCGTAAAACAAAATAAACCAAACCAATCTAAACCAAAGAATACATATTCTATTCATACGAATCTATCCTAAAAATGTTGTCGGCATTAAATAACCCATTGAAGTTGATATGCCGTAAAACAAAAAATAAACCAAACTAATCTAAACCAAAGAATACATATTCTATTCATACGAATCTATCCTAAAAATGTTGTCGGCATTAAATAACCCATTGAAGTTGATATGCCGTAAAACAAAATAAACCAAACCAATCTAAACCAAAGAATACATATTCTATTCATGTGAATCTATCCTAAAAATGTTGTCGGCATTAAATAACCCATTGAAGTTGATATGCCGTAAAACAAAATAAACCAAACTAATCTAAACCAAAGAATACATATTCTATTCATACGAATCTATCCTAAAAATGTTGTCGGCATTAAATAACCCATTGAAGTTGATATGCCGTAAAACAAAATAAACCAAACCAATCTAAACCAAAGAATACATATTCTATTCATACGAATCTATCCTAAAAATGTTGTCGGCATTAAATAACCCATTGAGGTTGATATGCCGTAAAACAAAATAAACCAAACTAATCTAAACCAAAGAATACATATTCTATTCATACGAATCTATCCTAAAAATGTTGTCGGCATTAAATAACCCATTGAGGTTGATATGCCGTAAAACAAAATAAACCAAACTAATCTAAACCAAAGAATACATATTCTATTCATACGAATCTATCCTAAAAAATGTTGTCGGCATTAAATAACCCATTGAAGTTGATATGCCGTAAAACAAAATAAACCAAACCAATCTAAACCAAAGAATACATATTCTATTCATGTGAATCTATCCTAAAAATGTTGTTGGCATTAAATAACCCATTGAAGTTGATATGCCGTAAAACAAAATAAACCAAACCAATCTAAACCAAAGAATACATATTCGGTTATTCATACGAATCTATCCTAAAAATGTTGTCGGCATTAAATAACCCATTGAAGTTGATATGCCGTAAAACAAAATAAACCAAACCAATCCCAAAGAATACAAAAATGTTGTTGGCATTAAATAACCCATTGAAGTTGATATGCCGTAAAACAAAATAAACCAAACCAATCTAAACCAAAGAATACATATTCTATTCATACGAATCTATCCTAAAAATGTTGTCGGCATTAAATAACCCATTGAAGTTGATATGCCGTAAAACAAAATAAACCAAACCAATCTAAACCAAAGAATACATATTCTATTCATACGAATCTATCCTAAAAATGTTGTCGGCATTAAATAACCCATTGAGATGTTGATATGCCGTAAAACAAAATAAACCAAACCAATCTAAACCAAAGAATACATATTCTATTCATACGAATCTATCCTAAAAATGTTGTCGGCATTAAATAACCCATTGAGGTTGATATACCGTAAAACAAAATAAACCAAACCAATCTAAACCAAAGAATACATATTCTATTCATACGAATCTATCCTAAAAATGTTGTCGGCATTAAATAACCCATTGAGATGTTGATATGCCGTAAAACAAAACAAACTAAACCCACTCTTACACTCACAGATTTCTTCTGCAAAAGCAGGAACTTCATGAAGGCCTAGTGTTCAACACTTGAAAAAAATCACATTTTCCTTTGATATGTTATTCAAAGTATTATTATTATTATTTATCTTAAATGAAGAAAGTTTATGCAAATTTTCAATGTATAAATATTTTCGTAAAAAATGTTTATGTCTGCACGAAAAGTAGTTAAGTCCAGATAACTCTATAAACAGTCAGTGTGTGAGTTTACACTGTATCGATTTTATAAACAGAACCCAACGGGGTCTCAGTTACGGGCAAAGAGTTAATCCTCCAAAAGGCGTCAAAACACAATGAAAGTATAAAAATAGGTATTAATACCAGCAATACATTTTTGGAAAAATTATTACCAATAATACATGTTTCGAAAAAAAAATATTACCAGCAATAAAAATCTTGTCGGCATTAAATAACCCATTGAGGTGTTGATATACCGTAAAACAAACTAAACCAAGCTAAAGCGTAAACAAAGTAATTTCTAAGAAATTAATTATTTTTTTAAATTATTTATAATGCCCTATTCTTATTACTTGAGACGATATAATTTAGAGGTTGTCCATGTTTGAGTAGACGTCCCGGTTTTATTTTATTTTATTTTTTTTTTTAATATATATATATATGTAAACAGTGTAAATTTATATCTACCGTCCTGGGTATTAAATTTAGACTGTTTCAAATAAACAGGTATATCTAATCAAGCATTGTATTCATTAAAAGCAACGTTCAATGTAAAGCGATATACGTAAACATGTAAAAACAGGGTGCCATAAAGTTCGTGTGCACTTTAAAAAATTTATAACTTTATTTGTATTTGCAATAGAAATAATTTGTAAAAAGGATTAGAAAGAAGTAAATCTATATTTTTTTAGGTTTTATTAAAATTTCCACATGTCCTCCATCATTAGCAATACAAAGGGTAATACGATTTTGCAGTTGACGGAAAACATTTGCCAACTGATTTACAGTAATGCCTGAAATCACATTAGTTATTTTAGCTATACTTAAAACGAGGTACATTAAACTTTATAACATTTTTTACAGATTATTTACAAAATTGATTAAAGTCACAGACAGCGTTAAAATGCATGAAGAATTGTGTGCATGTGTTTTTGGGTATTTATGTGGCAAAACATTTGTTGCTTTAAAACATCAGAAAAAACTTTGTAAAACCCGAACCTGCATACAATCACTTACGTGACGGACCCTCAATATGCCTCTCAACTGCAGGCGATCACTGTGTGACTATTTCTGTGTTTGCTTTTGTGCGTTTGCTTTACGTGCGTGGGTGCGTGTGTATCCTTAAGTGGCAGTTTTATGTTTGCGGTGTAATTGTTGAAGCGTACGCGAAATGGTGCGATGTAAACGGAAGAGGTGGGTGGACGTGTAGGCGTGTGTGAGACGCTTTCTCCCCGTTTGTCGGTGTCCCCAAAGCGCTGACTAATCTAGCAAGTCAAAACGCACTCCCACACGCCACAAATAGTGAAAAAAAAGCCCAGTGTCATTTCAGGACTTGTCTTGCACCCGGCCTACAATTTTTTTTTCTTCTTCGTTCTTTTTTTTTTTTTTTTTTTTTTTTTTTGTCAAGGCACGCTTTCAAACAAAGACATCCATGGAGAAAATCAAAATGAATAAATAAATAAGAAAAAAAAAAGGAAAACCATTTTTAACCTGTCCGTTTTTGTTTTCGACAGACTGTCATCAGATTCATTTCTTACGACAATAATAATAATAATAATAATAATAATAATAATAATAATAAATACAAAGACCTTGAAATCGAAATCTCAAAAATGTGGCACATGAGAACATCAAATATCCCCATTGTAGTTGGAGCCCTTGGATTGGTTGGAAAAGATTCCAGTAGACTAATTAAAGGGATTCCTGGAAGCCCATGCCTTAAAGAAATACAAAAAAAAATTGTTCTCACAAGTACAGCTCACACGTTACGAAGGACTTTATCTATGTATTTTTTTTTTTTTATGTCTGTAGAAAGTGTCATGATGCCATTTCTAATCTTAGGTCTCTGGGCGGGACCCGGAAAGAAATGTGTACACACCAAAAATCAAAGGAAATAAAAACAACAATAATAATAATAATATCTTAATACGCCACTATGCATGGCTCTCACGGCTTAATTGATTCGGGGTGTTAACATGTACATATTTTGTCTTGGTGAATAAAAGTGGTCGACAGTAAATATTCCATTCAGTACTACAGATTTGCGTTACAACTCTCTGGCCATAACCAGTGGGATGTGCATGCCCCACTCCCACGCACTGTGCATCTCGGGTCATTGGTGGGCGTAAGAAAATCAACTTGGCACTCAGTAAAAAAGTAAAATCGAACTTGCAAACTGAAACGCTCCTCTGTGGCTCAATCGGTAAAAGCACGTCAGGCTATATGATGGTTCCGTATAGGATACAGGTTCGATTCCTGTCGGAGGACGCATATTTTCATTTTCATTCAGGCCGGTAAATGTTGTTAATACTGTTTATTATAAACAAAGCATTTACTTAAATATTTATATCTATAAAAAAGAATGTATAAACATAAAAATGCCTTAGAATAATTGTCGAACTTTGTCCATTTCATAATGTGTGATTTCATTTGTTTAAATTTTGATACGCATTGAGCAGATATAAATGTACGTGAGAAAATCATGAAAGATTGTAGTTTAAAGACAGTAAAATCGACCTTGCTAACCGAACGCTCCTCTGTGGCCGAAACGGTTAAGGCACGTCAGGCTATATGACGGTTGCGATAAGGATACAGGTTCGATTCCTGTCGGAGTACGAACATTATCTATGAAAATTTCTCGGACACTCAGGCCGGCAAATGTTGTTAATACTGTTTATTATAAACAGAGCATTTACTTAAATATCTGTATCTATAAATAGAATGTATAAACATAAAAATGTCTTAAAAACTATTTACATTGTCCGAGAAATTTTCATAGAAAAATATGAAAATTTCTCGGACACTCAGGCCGGTAAATGTTGTTAATACTGTTTATTATAAAACAGAGCATTTATTTAAATATTTGTATCTATAAAAATAATGTATTAACATAAAAATGTCTTAAAATTATAAATAATATACATAATACCTCATCTCAGGAATATAGACAGATACAAAAAGGACATTTATACTCAAAATCAGAAATGACACGAAATGAAGGCTTAGAGAATAAGATACTGACAGGGCATATCGAAGGACAGGGAAAGGCAGTGGGTCATCTATGTTTGCGTGAATGTGAATGGGAAGCGTGGTAAAAGAATAAATGTTGCTAAAAGCGACAAGGGTTAATCGCCAACTTTCTGAACGGACAGGTCATATAGAAGAAGTGAACGAAATTAGAACTTAATTTTGTTTTTTCCTTCTATCTTCAGAGTGAAGAATTCTTCTTATTTACATTATTTACAACCGGACGAATGTCCTCATCTTTGTTGGTCATATCACAACGTTTCGACCTTTGTGCTCCCTGTCCTTCTTCCGGGTTCTTTCGACGCGGATTACCTTTCGATCTGAACTATCTACGAGCATAGAAGTCTTTCGTTCCTCTGCTCATGAAAGAGAAGAGACGGCGGAAGGAGTCAAATCTACCTATCTTATATACTCGTGTAACGCGCAATCACTTGTATCGTGCGAGCTCCAAATTTTCACTTATAAAAAAAAACGATATTATCATGTGTCTTGTGTATCATGCTTGTTCCTTTTTTTTTTTGAGAGACCAAATTACGATAGACAAACCTCTTTCCCTCCATCTCTTTATCCCATCTTTTAGTTTTAAAGGTTAAAAAAGTAAAAGAGAATGATAAAAGTATCGTTAGTAACGCTATCCTCGTTGCGTAAACGCGTACAGTCATAAACAACCGAATGAGAAACAGCTAAACATCTTAGAAACGTAAACAATAGAAAAGATGCATATTTGCTAAGTTTGTATTTTATAATACGATACTAATATGTGAATATTACATGCATTATTATTGGATACAGTTAAGTAAAACATCAGTTTGATCAAAATCATGTTTATTTTAAATACAATTGTACTTTTTGACTACAGTAAATGGATATATAGTTTAGTCAGCGTACGCAGGGCCAGCAGTACATACGCTAATTTTAGATCTCGTGTATGATTCGACCCTCTTAAAATTAGCTTCAAAATTAGGTCTGCAAAAATCGCATGATACGAGAGTATACACAGTATCTATCTATCTATCTATCTATCTATCTATCTATCTATCTATCTATCTATCTCAGTCTGTTCATATCTATCTATCTATCTCAGTCTGTTCATATCTATCTATCTATCTCAGTCTGTTCATATCTATCTATCTATCTATCTATCTATCTATCTATCTATCTATCTATCTATCTAACCATACCCTGCTGATTACTGCCTTCCCTCGAGTTTCGTACAAATGTTAGAATCGTTGACATTTTCTTGGTAGTGGAATCCGAATCCCTGGCAATATTTCTCGCTTACCCATATAAAACGAGATCAGCGTATTTCCTGATGTCTGGCGCAGCTGCCAACGGATCGCAGCCAATTTTTCTCTTTGTACTTACGTTAAAAATTACCTTACATTATATTCTGCAAGATGTAATAGATCAAGAAAATCTACTGCCTAATTTCTTCTTCTTCTTCTTCTTCTTCTCCTTATTATTATTATTATTGTTATTGGTAGATGCTTCTGGTACTGCTACAGTTGCGAACACATATACACAGCAGTCCATTTCGTGTCAGTATTTTCGCTGTAGTCACTTCCCTTTCTTAGTGTAATGGATAAAGAAACAGATGAAATCCACGCTGTTCATTAAATAAGAAATTATTGTTAACAAAAGAATAAAAACAAAGAAAACCTAAAAAAAAACCTTTTGTAATTCTTTTTATATTCTTCTCAATTCTTTTCTCGTCCGATTTTCTATCAGATCAATGTTTTCTATTCTTCCATCTCTTTTCTCTTTTTGCTCTATTTTTTTCCTTTTTCCTCTTTTAATGGCTTTTTTCTCCCTGTTTCTTTTTCCTGTTTTGTCTTTTATTGTCTTTTTGCCTTTATTTTATTATACCGTCCCTTTTATCTTTCAGATTTTTCACGCACCACCAACCATACTACAAAGCCTTTGATTTTTTTTCCCTTTTCTCTTAAATATAGTTGTCTCGGATGTTTGTTCTTTCCCATTTAAATGTGACACGCCTTGACCCATTTTGCCCCACAATTTAGCAGTCAAATTCCTTTGTCATTTTAAATCTTTTCATTTCCTAAACAAACAGATTTTACAAATTGGAAAAAAAAAAAAAAAAACTTTACTTCTTCTCTTTCTCATTTTTTTCTTTCTTTTTTCCTCCTTCTTCCTTTCTGTTTTGTTTATCTTTCTTTTCTTCTTTTTCGTTTCTGTTCTTTCTTTCCCATTTCCTCTCTTTGCGTTGTTTTCTTCAGATATTTTTTTCTTTCCCCGTTGTTCATTCGTTTATTTCTTCTCCCTTTTTTTTCATTCACTCCTTCGCTCTTATTCGTTTAAGCTCTTTAATCACTCCCTCTTTTCTTCACTTTCTTCTTTTCTCCCTCTCTTTTCGTCTCTTCCTCTCTGATTATTTCCCTCTAGCCTTCCCCTCCTCTCCCTCGATCTTCGTTTCCCACTCTCTTACTTCCTCGTCGTCTCAACCCTCTCTCTATATATACATCTAGAACTCTGCTTACATCTCCCTCTCTTTTCGTCTCTTCCTCTCTGACACTATAGCTCTCCCCCTCTCCCTCTCTCTATCCCCGTTTCCCACTCTCTTACTTCCTCTCCGTTTGAAACATATCTCTGTCTATATCTAGCACTCTCTGCTTACATCTATATCTCTTTTCGAACTCTTCCTCTCTAACTCTATCTCTATAGCTTCCTCTTTCCGTCTCACCCTCCCCTCTCCATCTCAGCTATCTCTCTCTTTAACACTCTCTGTTTCTCTCTCTCTTTTCTCTCTCTCTCAAACATTATCTCTCCTTATAGCTCCCTCTATCGGTTTATTTCCCTATTTCGCCCCCTCTCCCTCTCAGACATATCTCTCCCTATATCTACCACCCTCCACTTATATTCTCTCTTTTCGACTCTCCCTCTCAAACTCTACATCCCCCCATAGTTTTCTCTCTCTCTTCGTTTCTCCCTATCCTTCATTCCTGTCTTCATCTCAGCCCTCTCTCTCTCTCTCTCTCTCTCTCTATATATATATATATATATATATATATATATATATATATATATATATATATATCTACCACACTTTGCTTAAATACTCCTCTCTTTTCGTCTCTTCATCTCAAACTATATTTTTCCTTCTCTTTGTTTATCACTCTTCCGTCTCCCCTTTATCTCAACCATATCCCTCCCTATATCTACTACTCTCTGCTTGTATTTCCCTCTATTTTCGTCTCCTCCGTCTCTTCCCACTATCTCTCCCTTTCTACTATCTCCTTCTTTCTCTTTCGGCTCAATGTATTTAGTTAATAATTTTAAATTCAATTTGTGCTGAAATATCTTCTTGCAAACAAGTCTTATTAAAAATATCAGACCTGTTATATGTCTATCAAATTTATCAACTGTTATTTTTTTTCAAATGCGAATAATTTAAACCTAAATCAAATTTTCCATACGTTTTTCCATCTATAACAGCTATAAGTGCGAAAAGTCATTCGTATTTTAGAAAAAAAAAACGGTTGGCAAACTTGGATCTTGAAAAAAAAATTGTCAAAATGACAATTTTTCCCTTGATGCCGCTATTATTTTAACTACCTTCACTCCTCAGCAATGTTTATGGTTTTAAGCAGCGATGATTAAAATTTTAATAAAACGAATAAAATGAAAGTGAATTTTCTTTTCAGTTTGGACTGAATTTAAATAAATTTTTGTTGATTTTGTTCAGCGAAATATCAACCTTTATGTGTTATTTAATGCTAAAATCAAAATAATTTAAAAAGCAATAATTTAAAAAGCAAAATTACCAACAATACATTTTAAAGCAAAATGACCAACAATACAATTTAAAAACAAAATGACCAATACATTTAAAGCAAATTGACCAACAATATCTTTGCAGGTGTTGTCCAGATAAAAATATTCTCAATTAACTCTGCAAACTGGATGTGCAGTTGGTGTAATGGAAAGCGGTTCGCAATGAGAAATCAGCGAGACGAGTTCGAATTCCAATCGGGTTGCTTATATTCACTTAAGCTTGGGAAAGGTTTGAATTTCTCTCCTCCACCCAGCTATGGGTTAAATACCATGGATCGTATCTGGAAAACTCACTGATATTCTAAAAATAATGTAATGCAATATTCATTCACGTAAAAAATAAACAAAAAAAACCCCCCCAAAAAAAACCAACAAACAAACAAACATAGCTTACACAGCTTCCCATTGAGAGTTTTCCTAAGTATTTAGATATAACTCCTAAGTCGCCATGGCTGACTTTTCTTTCAAGCCTAAAAAATACGATATTTGTTCTCAACCTACTCCTGCTCATTTTTTTGTAATCAATTCACTCCAATCAAGGCGATAATGCCACTAAGATGAAAAGGGCTACTGAGGGTGGAAAAAAACGAAAAATACTTTAAAAGAAACCGGAAACCCAATCCTAATCAGCTAGTAAGCGATAAAGCTCTACTCCTGATCAAAAGATCGAGGAAGAGTGTGAAACGGACGACAGGCGAATCTATCTACCCCTATTGGGTTTTTCAAAATAAATAAATAGTAAATAAAATTTCAGAGTTTAGGTGAATGCATTAGAAATATAGATTTGAAGTAGAAAGATGCAGAAAAAAAAATACCGAAAGAATTAATTAAATTCGAAAAATATAAGATTATGGAACCATTAATTAGATTATTGATGTACACCCTAAAAAACAGGAAATCTATCTTTATTTAAAATACAGAAAATGGTGTTAATAAGTACAGCTTACATACATAGAAAATCTCCTTCAACGCAATGTGCTAAATAACTAAGGAAAAAAAACTGCATTTAACATTGGTTCCAGGTGATGAAATGACTGTTTCAAAATGCAAATCAAAATAAACACTACTACTACGACGACTAATGATAATAATAATAATAATAATAATAATAATAATAATAATAATAATAATAAGAAGAAGAAGAAGAAGAAGAAGAAGAAGAATATGAACATTAGTTATCAACTGTTTTTTTCTTTTTTACAGAAAACGGTGAATCTTTACTTCTTTGGAAGTTGCCAATGCAGGTGATAAAAATGTCCGCCCCACCCGAAAGAAAGACCTCCCTGAAAATTAAGAAAAAAATCCCTCTCGAAATATAGACATCAAGAAATACAAACTGAGGAAATGTTGGGTGCTGGGGTCCCTCAAAATCTCGGGAGTAATATGTTTTCTTGGTTTAGTCAAGAAATGGATGGAAAAATAGCCGAACAAAATTCCTGGCAACAAGAATCCCAGAGGATAATCCTCCTCGTTACTTCTCATAGATTAAGGAGAATTGTCCATCAAATCAATTCAGCACACTTTCATGGTAACCCCAAGTCCAAAGGAGGATAAAAACAATAATAATAATAATAAAACCATTTATCATCTTGTATCAGTGTGCATGGAATTGGTACCCACAGAATATAAAACACGACACGACAGAGTGGGCCAATATATGCACTGGAAAATCTGCAACTTTTACGGAAAGGAAACTGAACAACACCCAGACCCGGTTACAGAAATAGGACCTGTAACAATTTTATGGGACTACACAATACACACAGACAGAACAATCAAGTCTAATCACCCTGACATTGTTATTAGAGACCGCAAACAAAAAATTGCCTCCTTATTGATATGGCAGTACCTGAAAACTGCAATGTATCTTTGATGATCTTCAAAAAATTATCAAAATACAAGGACCTTGAAATCGAAATTTCAAAAAGGTGGCGATGTAGACATTAACAATTCAAGTTGTAGTTGAAGCCCTCGGAATTGTTGGAAAAGATTCTAATAGACTCATTGAAGGAATGCCTTAAAGAAATACAAAAAAAAATGTACTTACAAGTAAAGCCCACACCTTACGAAGGGCTTTATCTATATAAAATATGTGCATTTTTTTTTCAAAACTGCTCAGTGGAAAATGTTATGAGGGTCCGCTATTTCTGACCTTAGGTCTCTTGTCGAAACCCAGAAAGAGATGAGTATACACCGGAAACCAAAGTTTAGTAACCCTCATTTCAATTTTCAAACATTTTCTTGAATTTCATTGGTTGTTAAATAAAAATAAGCTTCGAGTAATTTCCATAACAAAACAGTCAAAATTTGTGCAAAAGTAAGCTCAACCGACATAAAAAAATCTTTCTCAAATTCATCCCTAATTTAAATGTTTCAAGAAATCCTATTGGCTAAAAAATAAAAAATACAACATTCCCCCACGCATTTCTTATAAAAATTCGCAACAAGCTACCAAGCCGCTGGAGCCGATTTTGTTGTTAAAAAAAACTATAAATAGAAACAGCAAACGAATTTTCGTCGCATTTTGAGACTCGCACATGCAAAGATACACTCGGGAATTATGTGTCAAAATTGCCGCCAAAGAAACAAACTTTCTTTATGAGAGATTGGAAAAATTCATACAACAAACTTTTTCACTTAATATCTTTCATAGAAAAATTGTCTAACTTAAATTCAGCCTTTGAATCAAAGGCAGACAACTTTTTAGACATTGAACATTTCTGAAACAGCAAAGAACTTTTTCTCTATACCTTTGCACACATCATTACAAACAAAGAAATTGTAAATTGTTTATATAAAATTTAAATTGTTGAATATCGACTCTTTACCATTTGGTCATTTCTTATAATTTATGCTTGTGGATATTGCGTATTTTATTTGCAACACAATTTTAAATATTCACGCATCCTTCTTAGAGCCACTGCAAAAGGAAATAAAACAACAACAACAACAACAATAATAATAATAATAATAATAATAAGGATCCTTAAGACTTTGGAAATGTATAATGTCACCTGGGTGATAGTAAATGTCATTAAACGCCGCATGGGAGTCCGGAAATTCGCATTATACTAAAATCACACCAGAACTAACACTTCCAACCGCCTGAATATCTGACGAGGAATCTTTCAAAGAGACGCACTGTCACCCATTCTGTTTTGTCCATCCTTAATCCGTCTTAATCCGTAATCCGCATGAACTAAACAACAATAGCTATGGGTAAGAAGTAAACAAGAAAATATTCAATCCCCTGGTCTACATGGATGATCACAAACTCTTTGCCAAAGACGACAATGAGTTGAAGGGTCTCCTTAATACGGTAACATTTTTCAGTGATAACATAGATATGGATTTCAGATTAGATAAATGAAGAAGAAGAAGAAGAAGAAGAAGAAGAAGAAGAAGAAGAAGAAGAAGAATGCACAGCCAGGATTAAGGGTGAACGGAAATGGAATACAGTAGACCCAAATGCAGCAGAAGGTAAGAAAAGAATACTACAGACGTCTGCGCCTGGTATTGAAAACCGAGTTGAATTCAAAAAAACAGAATATCGGCCATAAACACCTTGGCTGTTCCCATGTTGCAATACAGTTTCAACATCCTTAACTGGATCATAATTGAGAACTTGTGGTTGGGAACCTCGGATGGATTGGAAAGATTTCAATAGATTCACTGAAGGGATTCCCGGAAGCCCATGTCTTAAAGAAATACAAAAAATTGTAATCATAATTAGAGCCCACACCTTACTTTATATACGTACAATGTATGTGATCTTAGGTAATTTTTTTGTTTGTTTATTTTTTTTTCAAAAGATACTTAGGGGAAAACGTCATCATGCCATTTCTGAGCTCAAGTCTCTGGTTGGAACTAGGAAAGAAATGAGTATACACCAGAAATCAAAGGAAATAATGTAGTAGTAGTAGTAGTAGTAGCAGTAATAATAATAATAATAATAATAATAATAATAATCCTTGCTGCTCAGGACCAATGCTTGCTAACTAGGAATTATCAAGCACATATACTAAAATATTGTGTCAGCCCAAAATGCAGATTCTGTGATAAATATCCAGAAACGATTGATCATCTTGTATCAGGTTGTACGGTGTTGGCACCCACTGAATATAAAACCCGGCATGACAGAGTGGGCCAATATCTGCACTAGAAAATCTGCAACTTCTACGGGAAGGAAACTGAAAGAAAATGGTATGAACACCACCCAGACCCGGTTACGGAGATATGACCTGTTACAATTCTATGGGACTACACAATACACACTGACAGAACAATCAAGGCCAACCGGCCAGATATTGTTATTAAAGACCACAGACAAAAACGGTGCCTCCTTGTTGATATGGCAGTCCCTGCTGACTGCAATGTATCTTTGAAGATATTCAAAAAGTTGTCAAAATACAAGGACCTCTAAATAGAAATTTCGAAAATGTGGCATATGGGAACATCAACAATCCCTGTTATAGTTGGAGCCCTAGGACTGGTTGGAAAAGATCGCAGTAGACTAATTGAAGGGATTCCTGGAAGTTCATGCCTCAAAGAGATACAATAAATTGTTCTGACAAGTACAGCCCACACTTTACGAAGGGCTTTATCTATGTAATTTTTTTTTATTTTTTTGTCAGTGGAAAGTGTCATGATGCCATTTCTAACCTTAGGTCCCTGGGCAGGACACGGAAAGAAATGTGTAAACGCCAGAAATCAAAGAAAATAATAATAATAATAATAATAATATATACTCACAAGTACAGCCCACACCTTACAAAGGGCTTTATCTCTGTAAAATATATACAATTGTTTTCTTTTTCAAAACTGATCAGTAGAAAAAGTCGTGATGGCATTTCTGACCTTAGGTCTCTGGTCTGGACCCGGAAAGAAATGATTACACATCAGAATGCAAATGGAAAAAAATCAATTATTAGTAATAATAGCGACAATAACGAAAATTGAATAAAATATAACATTGCTTTCATGATTAGTAAAATACTGTCTCTTCCTTTCTTTCTTCAATTCTGTCCCCTCTCACCTCACATTTGTTCTCCTTGTTAATACTGACTGGGTTTAATTTTCACTGTTTTCTTTTCTTTTTTTAAGTACCCGTTTTGCTGGTTTCCCGCGTCCACGTCTGAACGTTGACATAAAAGGCGGGGATTCAGTGTTGCGGCCGATTTCATCTGTTGTACGCGTTAACCGAAAGCGCCAGGCCATCAACACGTCGAGCAAAAATCAACACAAAAAGAAGGACGTAGTCATTTATATTTTGACGCCCACAGACAATCAAGGGGTGGATATCAGAACACTGTTTTCACAAAATATCCTTTCTTTTTTCTCACCCAGAGTGACCCATTTGAAAAAAAGGTTCATGAATTGTGTCCTAACAGAAGAGTCACCTGGAAGACTTAAGAGTAAGTATCCCAATTTCGGGGCCGGGAGGTGGGGACCTGTAGACGCCAGAAAGGTGATAATGAGCTGGCCTTTGAAATGGGAATCTAAATTTTGTTGACAGAGGTTAAAATAGAAAAGAGAAACAAGATAGGATTTATTGCTAGATGAAAATGTTTACTTAAGTCTCGCGGATTAACATTAACGTTCAATAAAAGTGCTTTTTTTATTTACTTTTTTTCATAAAGCGAAAGGATATTTTTAAATTCGTTTTTCTTTTACCTCCAAACACAAGCGATACCTTAAAACGAACGATAGGTTCGAAACGAACGTTTAAAAATTAAAAAAAGAAACAAAAAAACTTTAATGCATCTCTGACATTAATAACAATTTCAAACTAATAGATATGTTTTCAATAACCAAAATACTTTGATGTATTCCAAAACGAATTTAAATTCATTGAAATTTTTTTTTTAATTGCTAAAACTTGCTAAATTTTGCATATTTAGAAATCTGTCAGCCCAACTTAATCATCTTTAATAAAAATTCTAAAAAGAAGTTAAAAAATAATTAAAAAATATAATTTAATAATGAAAAATGCTTTGGTCTTCTTAATAATAACAGAGTTTTTTATGATAAAACTTTGTTTTTATTAAGTTTGGGGGCATTTTTTTTCATCATGTATGCTCATTTTTACTGAATCTTTGGAGGTACCTAAATATACTATTTACATTATTCGGACTATTGTCCTCATCTTTGTCGCCATATTTATTACAATGTTTCGGCCGTTGTACGCTCTGGCCTCCTTCAAGTGGTTGGAATGTCAATGACAATTAAAAATGAAGTCTCCACGGAATTCCTTTTGAATGATTTAGTTTTTTGTTTCATTCTACTCTCCACAGATTTTATGCCTTTTTTTTAAATCACGAAAACTAATTACTGCAGCAATAATTATATAAATAAAGTAGGTGTCTCGAAAAGTTAGACAAAAAATAGCATAAATTAATGAAAAAAAAACTTGATAAAAACAAATTTTGACCTTGAAAATATTTATGTTTTATTAAGGAGAAATACTAAGATAGTATTTGTTTAGTCTGTAATCCTTTCTAGCACGTTTGAAATTTCGGTTAAAATCTTGTTTTTTTTTTTTTTTCGTCAGAGGGCGGGCTAAAGATTAATATGAGCGTCTTTTTTGCGGGAATAAATACATTGTTAAATAAATAGTTACTGTTGGGTTAAAAAAGGCATTTTTGCGATATTTTAAGCATAAAGTAAATAATATTTGTTTTAAATCAGATTAATTATTCTGTAAAACAGCTAATATTCCTCAAATAATGTTTCAGAAAAGGATATTATATCTGGAAGATTTTTTTAATAAAGAAAATAAAGGTAATGGCGATAGAAAACAACTAAAAAGGAAGAAAAAAAAGAAAAAAAATCTCATTCCAGTCAATTTAAATTAGTTTTTGAAATAAGCAAAGTATTTTGCTTCTTGAAAATATTAAATTTAATCTATTAGCTTGAAATTAAAACTCAAATAAAAGCTTCAACAACAGTTAAAAAGAGCACAATCTTAAAAGCTTCTCTGTTCTATGGAAGCCCATAATATGACAATGGAGTTCACTCCATTGTTACTTGGTTTTTGTTTTTCTTTCATTTTACAATCTCAGATTCTTCTTGTTGTTTTTCTCCTCTTTGTCTACTACTACTACTACTATTTATTATTATTATTATTAGTAGTAGTAGTAGTACTGAGTGAGAGTGCAGCCCACCGACAAAATGGCACTGGGATGAAAATATGAGGAGCTCACTAACACCCAGTCTTAAGAGAGTATATCAGTGTTGCTGTCGAGCTTGACTCACTATACCGCCGCTTCCCTTTCGTACACAGCGGAACAAGAAAGACTTGCCGCCCTTAGATTAAATAAAGTGTTCAGTTCGAAATTCCCCGTAGGTTACCCAAATCAGCAGACACCTGAAGAAGGCTTGAGGGCACAAGGCCTGGAACATTGTGTTAAGATAAAGAAAAGTCCGTCGTTAAATAATGTAAATAATGTTAATTCAGACATTTGGGATGCACTGTAGCCGTTAATAATTACGTATAACTCAAGACTTCAATGTTAAATAAAACAGTATTAAATTACAACCGCAAATAAATACTTAACAAGAACAAAGAAGTAAAAGTCAACCAAAGCTAATCAACCATTTTAGTGAATAACTTGTTAGTAGCACAGTTCGGCTTAACATATGGCAAATCCTAAATCATAACCCAAATCATTGACGAAAAATAATTTACACTAATTCGACTGGGTAGTTCCATTCAATAGTCACTCAATAATCACCTCAGTCAGGATATCTACCAACCGCCCCACGCGGCCAGTTGTGGCATAAGGCCGAATTTAATTCCCCGTAGACCTCGTATAAAACGGGGTCGGGTAGCTGTTTCCTCGACACGAGACTCTGCCCTTCGACATAGCCACGTCTGGGGATCCTCTTTGCCCGAAGAAAGAGAGTTTGAACAGCACAGCTTGAGACGAAACTCCAACTGTATCACCTCAGTCAGTAACCTGACATCGGTATTTATACACCTGGCGGAAAATATATATTCATAAATCCAGAGTGTCATGTTCGAACCTCGGTGTCGGTAGTGACTCATTTTCTTCTTATATGACACAGACAGAAGTAGAAATGGCAAAAAAAAAAAATTAACAAAAAAGAAAAAAGAAAAAAAATAAAACGATATGTTAAACACCGCTTTTATTTTAATAACCTTCACACCCTCGGCAATGTTTATTGTTTTATAAAACAATGATTAGAATTTTAATAAAACCTAAACATATGAAATTGAATTTATACATTTTCTTTTTTCTTGAGAACTGCCAACAAAAATAATAAGCAGTATTAGATTGTTTACAATATTTTGATATAAACCATTCTTTTGAGATGCCTTTTTCGGGTACAATGAACGATTTGTAGCGGACCTTGTGAGTTTACGTGTTGTTAAATTAGGAACACATGTGCAACTCCTGATTGAATTGAAAGGTCCACTACAAGAATATGTCGGACTCAAGCTGAGACCAACGGGAGATGTAAAGAAAACAAAAAGGACCTATATATATATATATATATATATATATATATATATATATATATATATATATATATATATATATATATATATATATATACAACAAGTATATAAATTAAACAACAAAATTTACAATGGACATAGACATTAACATTTGCGTTTGTGTGTGAACGTAAAGGGTTTATATTTTGGTGAATGTTCGTACGTACGTGCATGTGTGCTTCATGGCGTTTTCCCACAAGTGGGCAAAAACGTAAATCTCTGCTCGAGATCACATCCTTTAAACGTGTCCACTGAAATGCAAAGTAAAAAAAAAGAGAACGAGGCAAGAAGTCGCTCAGTATTTATAGTGGAGGGAGAGCGACCCCTAGTGAAATATTTGGACAATGAAGGAGTTAACTCCGAGATTGTCGAAAAATCTCACCTTTCATTTCATCTTATTGGTCGCATTAATGTTGTAGTTGTTAATTTTTTTCTTTTGATTGAGAGAATACTGCGCCAACAATTTGTCACCGGAATACAAATATACGAAACCGAATGTACCCATTATTGCCCCTAATATTGCGGCATGGTGACATGTTCTGATAAAAACAGTGCATAACTTTTCAGGTGGCGATCAGGTAGAAATACCCTCGGATAACTCAGTTCGTAGAGACAGTCTCCGGGCGTTCCTAAGTATCTAGATGTGACTCCTTGGCCTGTTCACCTTTTCTCGACCATCTACCATGATTCTCATCTACGGCATCCGATTACGAATAGACATACACAGCATCAGTATCGAGGAAACATTCACAGCAGGCCAAAATCAGGCAACGGACAATGTGTTGTGTTGAACGGGATATTTACAGTAGCACATCTTTGGGCACCTTGAGGTGGCGTAATGGTTAGCAAGCTTATCTCGTTAGAACAATTACGACTGAGTAGTGAGTTCGATCCTCACTGGGTGCCACATCTAAGCTACGCTTGGGAAATCATTTTCGGCACATCGGCCTAGTATAATGGTTAGCAAGCTTTTCTTGCTAGAACAATTACGACTGAGTAGTGAGTTCGATCCTCACTGGGTGCCCCATACTTTAGGCCTTGTGCCTAATTTAGGCTAGACTTAAAAAAACACCAGGGCAATTCGACGATGTGTAATGGTTAGCAAGCTTGTCTCGCTAGAACAATTACGACTGAGTAGTGAGTTCGATCCTCACTGGGTGCCCCATAGTTTCGGTCTTGTGCCACATCTAAGCTACACTTGGAAAATCATTTTTGGCACCTCGGCTTGGTATAATGGTTAGCAAGCTTGTCTCGCTAGAGCAATTACGACTGAATAGTGAGTTCGATCCTTACTGGGTGAACTATACTTTCGGCCATGTGCCACATCTAAGATACGCTTGGGAAATCGCTACAATAGCACGTCTTGATTCAATATGATAAACATGTAAATAATACCTATAATCAAGATCATAAGCCATTTAATAATTTCTTCTAATAAAGGAAGCCAACAAGTTCAAAATGGAGTTTCAAATGGGTGCAGAAATACAAGTAAAGTCAATACACCGACTGAAGCTGCAAAATACTTTAAAAAGAAAGCAGAGACAAATGCAACCGACCAGATACAGAAACAATGTCAAGGTAAATCTCTTCATGGCCAATACTCTGCCCGTACCAAACAAGCTGACGTAGACAAACCCCGTACCTATCAGTGGCTACATAGTGCTGGGTTAAAAGCTGAAACGGAAGGTTTTATCCTTGCTGCACAGGATCAGTGCTTGTTAACGCGGAATTATCAAGCACACATACTGAAAAACTGTGTAAGTCCAAGATGCTGATTCTGTGATAAATATCCAGAAACAATTGATCATCTCGTATCGGGTTGCACGATATTAGCACCTACTGAATATAAAACCCGGCACGGCAGAATGGGCCAATATCTGCACTGGAAAATCT